TGAGAAACGCGGATGCAAATGATGGCATGTTTGCGTATCATGCGGGTGGGGTTCAGGGAATGATGGGAGGTGGCAACTTTGCTTCGTCTCCGGGATCTATGCAACTGCCTCAGCAGTCTAGGAAATTCTTCGAGTCTCCTCAACAACAACAGGGTTCTGGTCAAGAGGGTCAGCAAAGTTTTAATCCAATGCAGCAGGCGTATATTCAGTTTGCTTTACAGGCACAGCAACAAAAAGCGCAGCAGCAAGCTAGAATGGGAATGCTGGGTTCACCAAGTGTGGGAAAGGATCAAGATGGACGGATGGGAATGTTGAATATGCAAGACTTGATTCCGATGCAGGCATCTAGTCAGGCACAGGCCTCGTCGTCTAAGCCATCGGGAGAACAGTTTGCTCGCGGGGAAAGGCAAATGGAATCAGGCTCTCAACAAAGGAACGAAGCAAAACCTCATCCTCAGCAGGTGGGAACGGGACAACTAATGCCTGGAAATATGATAAGGCCAATGCAGGCACCACAGGCTCAACAGGGTGTCAATAACATGGGAAACAACCAACTCGCATTTGCACAACAGTGGCAGGCGATGCAGGCATGGGCGCGTGAGCGTAATATTGATCTCTCACATCCTGCCAACGCCAGCCAAATGGCGCACATCCTTCAGGCAAGAATGGCTGCCCAACAGAAAGCTAGTGATGGCAATGTGGCTTCACAGTCACCATCTATTCCAATCTCTAGCCAGCCGGCTTCATCTTCAGTTGTTCCAGGTGAGAATTCACCTCGTACCAACTCTGCTAGTGATGTCTCTGGGCAGTCAGGATCAGCAAAGGCCAGGCATCCAGTATCTACCAGCCCATTTGCCTCGACTTCCAGTCCTAGAATGGTGAACCCCTCTATGAATCCCTTCTCCATCCAAGGGAGAGATAATCCAGGGTATCCTCGACATTTAGTTCAGCCTACAAATGGGATGCCCTCAGGAAACTCACTGCAGACGTCTGCAAATGAGACGCATGTTTTAGATCAGAATGCGTCTACAAAAAAAAGTTTGGGTTCTGCTGAACAATTGCAGATGCAGCAGCCTAGGCAACTGAATGCACCGACTCCAACTTTAGCAGCTCCATCTGATACTGGTCCACTCAGTACCTCTTCCCTTCAGAGTGGACAGGGGACCCAACAAGCACAGCAGCGATCAGGATTTACCAAACAACAGCTTCATGTTCTCAAAGCCCAGATACTGGCATTTAGGCGTTTGAAGGTTTACAGCTCTGTCTTTTTCCTCATTTCTTCTTGTTTATGTATGTTTTGCTGGCGATGTATCTTCATATAACGTTTCTGCAAGTCACGTTGATTGTTTTTTCTCTTGCTTTTTACTTTGCAGAAAGGAGAAGGTTCTTTGCCTCAGGAGCTTCTTCAAGCTATTGCCCCACCACCGCTTGAACTGCAGACGCAGAGGCAAATTTCTCCTGTGGGAGTACAAGTTCAGGATAGATCTTCAGACAAAACTGTAGATGACCAAGCACGGTCGCTAGAGTGTGGTAAAGAGTCTCAGGCAGCTGCTTCTTCCAATGGACAGATTTTTTCGAAAGAGGAAGATAATGTTGAAGATACAGAAGTAGCTTTGGCGACGGGCCACAGCCAGTTATTTCAAAACATGGGAAAAGAAGTTGCTTCTACTGATGCGGCAACAAAAGAGGAGCAGCAAACTGATATATTCCCTGTTAAGTCGGACCAAGGAGCAGATACTAGTGCTCAAAAGACTCCTAGAAGTGATTCTACAGCTGATAAGGGAAAAGCTGTTGCATCTGATGGAGGCCAATCTAAGGTGCCTGCACAAGCAAACTCTCCCCAGCAGCCCAAGGATACAGCCTCTGCCAGGAAATATCATGGACCATTGTTTGATTTTCCGTTTTTCACTCGAAAACATGACTCTTATGGGTCTGCAACAGCCAATGCCAATAACAATCTCACATTAGCGTATGATATTAAAGATCTGATTTGTGAAGAAGGTGCAGAGTTCTTTAATAAGAAAAGAACAGACAGTTTGAAGAAGATAAATGGTCTACTAGCAAAAAATTTGGAAAGGAAAAGGATTAGGCCTGATCTTGTTTTGCGGCTTCAAATTGAAGAGAAGAAGCTTAGGCTATCGGATCTTCAGTCTCGTGTTAGAGATGAAGTGGATCGATATCAACAGGAGATAATGTCCATGCCTGATAGGCCATACCGTAAATTTGTGAGGTTGTGTGAACGACAACGTCTTGAAATGAATAGACAAGTACTGGCCAGCCAGAAAGCTGTCAGAGAGAAACAGCTGAAAACCATTTTTCAGTGGCGTAAGAAACTCCTTGAGGCTCACTGGGCTATACGTGATGCACGCACTGCTCGTAACAGGGGAGTGGCCAAATACCATGAAAAGATGTTGAGAGAGTTCTCGAAGAGAAAAGATGACGGCCGGAACAAAAGAATGGAGGCCTTGAAAAATAATGATGTAGAAAGGTACAGGGAGATGTTGCTGGAACAGCAAACAAATATACCTGGTGATGCGGCTGAAAGATACGCTGTTCTCTCTTCATTTTTGACCCAGACCGAAGATTATCTCCATAAACTTGGAGGTAAGATTACTGCCACAAAGAATCAACAGGAGGTGGAGGAGGCAGTGAATGCTGCAGCAGTTGCAGCGAGATTGCAGGTATTTTTGCTGCTTTCTCTACTCCACAGCTTATTATCCATTACTCTGTAGATAGCTCTTCAAAGTTCAACTTAGATGTTGACTTTGCACGTCTGAGAAACTGTAACTCTTTTTTTTCCCCAAAGTTGTAGTGGATTGTAGCTTATCTGTTTCCGTTCTTGATGCAGGGACTGTCAGAAGAAGAGGTCAGGGCAGCAGCTGCTTGTGCTCGAGAAGAAGTTGTGATCAGAAATAGATTTACGGAAATGAATGCGCCAAAAGATAATTCATCTGTCAACAAGTAAGTCATTACTTACACAAAAAAATGAAATAGCAAAGTAGCAGTTGTTACTTGTACTTTATAATTTGCGAGGGAATTATACACATCATACAATTAGGAATAGGCTCATTGGATCCTGTATTTACCCGTTTTGTTATGCCTAACTCTTAGGTATTATACTCTGGCTCATGCTGTAAATGAAGTGGTTGTGAGACAACCCTCAATGCTTCAAGCTGGAACTTTGCGTGATTACCAGCTGGTATCTCCTACATTGAGGCCCTATTTCGTTGTACTGTGAATTTCTTTTCACTGTTGTGCCACATTTTCATGGTTTCTAATGCAGTCCGCTCTGTGCCTTTCAGGTTGGATTGCAATGGATGCTCTCGTTGTATAATAACAAATTAAATGGAATCTTGGCTGATGAGATGGGTCTTGGTAAAACTGTGCAGGTTAAATCCATTCTCAATTTTCAGGGGTTCCTGGATTTATCTTCTTTCGCCTTTGGCGAGCAATAAGGCACTATCTTATGCCGGCATTATATGCTGAATTTTTTTGTCTTTTCTGTGCAGGTAATGGCACTGATTGCTTACCTTATGGAGTTTAAGGGGAATTATGGACCGCATCTCATCATCGTTCCCAATGCTGTGCTAGTGAATTGGAAGGTTTGTGTTTCTGTTAGAATCAATGCACCAGCTTAGATACAATGGAATATTTGTGACCCCTGCTGACATGGTCATATATAGTTGATTGACTCTTCTGTGTTCCTTAGAATATGTATCAGTTATTTTTGCTATCTTTTTTCGACTTCTATCTGATACTTTACTAGACAGTTAACTTTTTCTTCTTCTGCAGAGTGAACTTCATACTTGGCTGCCATCTGTTTCATGCATATATTATGTTGGTACGAAGGATCAACGATCAAAATTGTTCTCTCAGGTAAATTTTTGAAAAGTTTGCATTTGCTCTAGATTTTGTTTTGAATTTGTTGATTGATACATCCCTTGTTCTCTGTAACGCAGGAGGTTTGCGCCATGAAGTTCAATGTTCTCGTTACGACTTATGAGTTCATTATGTATGATCGATCAAAACTCTCAAAAGTTGACTGGAAATATATTATAATTGATGAAGCACAACGGATGAAGGACAGAGAATCTGTTTTGGCCCGAGATCTTGACCGGTACCGCTGCCAGAGGAGATTGCTTCTCACTGGGACACCTTTACAGGTTGGTAACAGTTTAGCTACTTGGGCATAGATCATGATCACCTAACAACTGGAACCAAGATTCTTTGAGTTGTTCATATTATGTTGTTAGATAGATGATTCTTATCCTGCATGTATCTATTCTTGTAGAACGATCTGAAAGAGCTTTGGTCGCTATTGAATCTCCTCCTTCCTGATGTCTTTGACAATCGAAAAGCATTTCATGATTGGTTCGCGCAACCCTTTCAAAGGGAAGGTCCTGCGCATAATATAGAGGATGACTGGCTGGAGACTGAGAAAAAGGTCATAGTCATTCACAGGCTTCATCAAATTTTAGAGCCGTTCATGCTTAGACGCCGAGTGGAGGATGTGGAAGGTTCACTTCCTCCTAAGGTAGGATCTGTTTAATATCTCTGCCATTATTTTTCATCTAGATGATTCTTCTGATAATGCTTTTGGGTTGCAGGTTTCCGTAGTTTTAAGATGTAGAATGTCTGCTATTCAGAGTGTCGTTTATGATTGGATTAAAGCTACTGGAACTCTTAGAGTTAATCCAGACGATGAAAAAGCTAGGGCTCAGAAGAATCCAGTATACCAAGCCAAGATATATAGAACTTTAAATAATAGGTGCATGGAGCTGAGGAAAGCATGCAATCATCCTTTGCTGAATTATCCATATTTCAACGATTATTCCAAAGATTTTCTTGTAAGGTCATGTGGCAAATTGTGGATTCTAGATAGAATCCTTATGAAGCTACAGAGGACAGGGCATCGTGTATTGCTCTTCAGTACAATGACTAAACTTCTTGATATCTTGGAAGAGTATTTGCAGTGGAGGAGGCTTGTATACAGACGAATAGATGGGACTACCAGCTTAGAAGATCGGGAATCAGCTATTGTGGATTTCAATGATCCGAATACTGATTGCTTTATCTTCTTGCTTAGTATACGCGCAGCCGGAAGGGGTCTCAACCTTCAGACTGCCGACACAGTAGTGATATATGATCCGGATCCAAACCCCAAGAATGAGGAACAAGCAGTTGCCAGAGCCCATCGTATAGGGCAGACAAGGGAAGTAAAAGTGATTTATATGGAGGCAGTTGTTGAAAAACTTTCCAGCAATCAAAAGGAGGACGAGCTTAGAAGTGGTTGTTCAATAGACTTAGAGGATGATTTGGCTGGAAAGGACCGATATATAGGATCTATAGAGGGTCTCATAAGGAATAATATTCAACAGTATAAGATCGACATGGCTGATGAAGTCATTAATGCTGGCCGTTTTGACCAAAGGACAACTCATGAGGAACGACGGATGACATTAGAGACTCTATTGCATGATGAAGAAAGATATCAAGAAACTGTTCATGACGTACCTTCTCTGCATGAGGTAAACAGGATGATTGCTAGAAGTGAGGAGGAAGTTGAGTTATTTGATCAGATGGATGAAGAATTTGACTGGACTGAGGAGATGACGTCTCATGAGCAGGTTCCTAAGTGGCTTCGAGCTAGTACTAAAGAGGTGAATGCTACCGTTGCTGATTTGTCTAAGAAACCGTCAAAGAACATGTTATCGAGCAGTAATCTGATTGTGCAACCTGCTGGACCTGGAGGTGAGAGAAAAAGGGGGCGGCCCAAGAGTAAAAAGATTAACTACAAGGAAATTGAAGATGACAATGGAGGATACTCTGAGGAAAGCTCTGAGGAAAGGAACATTGATTCTGGGAATGAAGAAGAGGGAGACATTGGACAATTTGATGATGATGAACAAACTGGTGCTCTTGGTGATCACCAAACCAACAAGGGAGATTCTGATGGAGGGAACCCTGTCTGTGGTTATGATTACCCTCCGGGTTCTGGTAGTTATAAAAAAATTCCTCCACGTGATGATGCCGGTTCTTCCGGATCTTCGCTAGAAAGTCATAGATCGAAAGAGATGGCATCTCCTGTTTCTTCACAAAAGTTTGGCTCTTTGTCTGCATTGGACACTAGGCCAGGTTCTGTCTCAAAAAGACTGGTAGGCACCTGATCTGTCTTGCAGGTTTCTCTTCTTATTTGTCGTTGTGTAATGTTTGTTCCTTTAATTATGTTGAACAGATGGATGACCTAGAAGAGGGGGAAATAGCAGCATCAGGGGATTCTCACAGAGATCTCCAACGATCAGGAAGTTGGGCCCATGACCGTGATGAAGGGGAAGAGGAACAGGTTTTGCAACCTACAATTAAACGGAAAAGGAGTATTCGTCTAAGACCCCGTCAAACTGCAGAACGAATGGACGGTAGTGATATGCCTGTAGCTCAGCCACTGCAAGTCGATCGTAGCTATCGATCAAAGTTGAGGACTGTTGTTGACTCGCATGGTTCAAGACACGATCAGAGTGATTCATCCTCGAGACTTAGGAGTTTACCTGCAAAGAAGGTAGTTAATACTACCAAGCTGCATGTATCATCACCAAAATCTGGTAGATTGAATGCCACACAGCTTTCCTTGGAGGATAACGCCGAAGCTGCCAGAGAAACATGGGATGGGACTAGTCCTATTGGCTCTTCAAATTCCGGTGCGAGAATGTCCCACATCATACAGAAACGGGTATGTTCTACCGAATAGAATATAAGTCATTGCATCCTCTTATATTGTCAATGCGTAGGTACATCTCTTTTTTTGGTTGGTCTGAACTGACCCGGTCCTTAACTTTGCAGTGCAAAAACGTGATTAGCAAGCTCCAAAGGAGAATCGACAAGGAAGGTCAGCAGATTGTACCTATGCTGACAAATTTGTGGAAGAGAATTCAGAATGGTTATGCAGCTGGAGGTGTAAATAATCTTTTGGAACTACGAGAGATAGATCACCGGGTAGACAGGCTAGAGTACGCAGGAGTTATGGAACTCGCAACTGACGTGCAGTTTATGCTAAGGGGAGCAATGCAATTCTATGGATTTTCACACGAGGTTTGATTTTTGCATCTTAAATATTGATTCTGGTCTTTTGATGTATAAAGCCAAATGGGGGGGGGGGGTTTTAAAGGTGATCAACATTTTCCGCAGGTGAGATCTGAAGCAAGGAAGGTTCACAATCTGTTCTTTGATTTATTGAAAATGTCTTTCCCAGACACAGATTTCCGGGAAGCAAGGAATGCTCTTTCCTTCTCTGGCCCAACCCCAACTTTGGTATCTACACCCTCCCCAAGAGGAGCAAGTGTGAGTCAGGGCAAGAGGCAGAAGCCGATAAATGAGGCAGAACCCGAGCCAAGCTCTCCTCCTCAGAGACCTCAACAACGCGAGAACACAAGGATCAGAGTACAGATACCGCAGAAAGAAACAAAGCTTAGCGGGACATCAAGCCAGACCGACGACTCTCCAATTTTAGCTCATCCAGGGGAATTAGTAATCTGCAAGAAGAAGAGGAAAGACAGAGAAAAGTCTGCTCCAAGAACCCGAACCGCTGGCTCCAGCAGTCCAGTCTCACCTCAAGCTATGATAGGTCGTGGTCTTAGAAGTCCTGTGTCTGGTTCAGTTGGAAGGGAAACAAGGCTAGCTCAACAGCAACGCTGGCCAAACCAAGCCACTCATCCAAACAACAGCGGTGCGGCTGGTGATTCAGTGGGATGGGCTAATCCGGTGAAGCGGTTGAGGACGGATTCTGGTAAAAGAAGGCCGAGCCATTTATAGACAAGACTGTGAAAAGATTAAAGCCAATGTTTGTCCTTAGTATTCAGGATTTGATTGCAATGTGGCAATTGAAAGCAATTTAGCAGCGAGTCTTTGACCTTAGTATAATCAAAATAATTTCTGTAGGTCTATGATTCCTTTCTTGGTAATGTTGCTGTTTAGATCGTAATACCGTAAAATTTACAGTAACCTTTAGAGGAAAGTCCTTTTGTCTGCAGTATCCATCTTTAGACATGTTCATGTATAAAAAAAGTTTCGAGGATATAACAAACAAAATGAGATATGGATTCATTGTTTTATTAATGTGAGATTGCAGATCGTATTTACAGTTTAAAACAAAAAAAAAGGTTATTTCAATCTTCCTAAAGAATAAATAAATCTTTTACAAATTTACAGAGGAAAGTTTTCTTCTCCTGACACAATAATGAACGTTAATGGTTTAAATTTGGAGATTGACTAACAATAAAAAGTGCAATGAAAGACTGATGTGTAACAGTCATGGATCGGCTTTTCCAGCAATCTG